GTCTGCCCCTCTCCCCAGTGTGACAGCTGCTCTCCCAGGTCTGTGCCTGGCTCTGCCGCCCCGTGTCGGGCTGGGGAGGTGGCAGTCCCTGGGTGGAAGGGCTCAGCGTGGTGACGGGTTTGGATACCATGTCCCTCCATGAGCCCCTTGCTGACACCCCCTCTGCCCCCAGGGTCGATGGTTCTGGAGGGTTCGGCACAACCGGGTGCTGGACAACTACCCCATGCCCATTGGGCACTTCTGGCGGGGCCTGCCTGGGGACATCGATGCCGCCTATGAGAGGCACGACGGGAGATTTGTCTTCTTTAAAGGTGAGCAGAGCTGCAGGAGGAGAGCCCTCAAGGCTCCATGTTATGGCCTGGTGCCCCAAGCAGCCGAGTGTCCCTGAGCCCATCCTGACCTGTCCTGGCAACGGGATGGGGTGGCTGCGGAAGGAGCCGTCAGGACAGGGGCAACAGAGCCCCTGCTGCTCGTCTTGGACCCTGTGTGCAGGGGCAGCAAGGAGACCCGGAGCAGGGCACCAGGACAGACAGTGTAACTCCCATCCCGGTGTGTGCCACCACCACAGCATCACCCACTTTCCTGTCTCCGTTTCCTTCCCTGCCCAGGGGACCGGTACTGGCTTTTCCGAGAAGCCAACCTGGAGCCCGGCTACCCGCAACCCCTGAGCAGCTACGGGCAGGGCATCCCCTACGACAGCATCGACACCGCTATCTGGTGGGAGCCCACGGGGCACACGTTCTTCTTCCGCGGGGACAGGTGGGTGCTCCTGGGTGCTCTGCCTCGCCAAACCTCTGTCCTTGCCTGTGCCTTGATTTCCCTGTCTGGAAGAGGGATGACGGGTGCTTGGAGAGGAGAGAAGGAGCCCTGCAGGTGGATGGAGGGATGGGTGGGCTGATGGCACATGACTGCCTGGAGGGCCAGATTGGGGAATTCCTGAGGGGAAAAGTGGGGAACTGTGGAAGTGCGGATGAGGAGGAGTGTCAGCAGATGGAAGGGGGCATGGGAAGGCCCATGCCACCCACCAGGACAGCTTTCCTTCCTCCGAGGACAGGACCACCCGAGGGTCCTGCTGCACCTCGCCTGCTCACGTGGCCCTCTCTGTCCCCCCGCAGATATTGGCGCTTTAACGAGGACACCCGCTCGGTGGACCCCGGCTACCCGAAGCCCATCTCCGTGTGGGTGGGCATCCCCCCCTCGCCCAAGGGTGCCTTTCTCAGCTCGGATGCTGGTAAGCAGAGGAGAATGGAAGGGTGGGCAGCAGATGGACACCCACAAGCCTGGAGGTCCTGTTTCCTCCCCTCCACGCTGGAGGGAGCCAGAGCAATCCCGGGTGTCCTGGGCTGAAGGGGGCCAGGGGCCACCCAAGGCAGGAGCGGGACCCAGCTGCTCCCCCCTCACCCCCCATCTCTTCCTGCAGCCTCGACCTACTTCTACCGCGGCACAAAGTACTGGAAGTTCGACAACGAGCGGCTCAAGACGGAGCCGGGCTATCCCAAATCCATCCTGCGGGACTTCATGGGCTGCCACACAGAGCTGCTCCCCGACCCCAACCCCCGATGGCCCGACGTGGACCGGCCGCCCTTCAACCCCGATGGGGACGGAGGCGAGAGAAACGCCGATGAGGACAAGGCGGAGGAGGAAGAGGAGGAGTGGGAGGAGGATTACGGCGTGGGCGGCCCCGGAGCGGGCGGCGACGTGGACGTGGTGGTGCACATCGACGAGTACGCGCGCACCATGAGCGTCGTCATGGTGCTGGTGCTGCTGGTGCTGCTGCTCTGCATCCTCGGCCTCATCTATGTCATCGTGCAGATGCAGCGCAAGGGAGCGCCCCGCATGCTCCTCTACTGCAAGCGCTCCCTGCAGGAGTGGGTCTGAGCCCCCCGGCCCCCTCCCGCCACCGTGT